TATCAATAAAAATCGGATTTTATCAACAAAAAAACGTTTTTTTTTTGTAATTATCCCACAACAAAATAGGTCAAAATCCCGAAAATTCCTCATTCTGACCCTCTGACTCGTCGAGTTAACCAATGGACTCGGCGAGTCAGGCCTCCAGAATGCGAATTTTTTCGATTTTCAACTTGAATGATCATGTAAAGCATCAAATACATTAGATAAACAATTTAGACTCTAATACCACTAATGGGTTTTGAGCACTACATCAATCCTATGGTATACATGCAAACCCTAAAGCTTTGGATCTAGTTTGTCTAATGAACATGCAATAATCATCCAAAGCTCATAAACCCTAGATCTAGTATATAATAATCGAAATTAGGCTTTAGATCTTACCTTGAATGTTATGTAGTAATAACAATCATAAACCTTCTTGATCTTGACTTCAGAAAGCCTAGTGCCCTAAGTGTTACACCTCTAATGGAGTCACAAACACCACTAGCAACAAGGATGAAGAAGAAAGAAGAGGAGAGGCACCAAAAACGTCCTAGGGTTTCTCTTAGAAGGCTAGAGACGTTTTTGGGAGCCTATAGGGTTCCTTTTATAGTTAGGCTTCTAGGGTTATCAACTAGGAAACCCTAATCTGACTACTTAGGCCCTAAGCAGCCCATGAACTCCCTCCTTAGAGGCGTTGGACAAAATCTTATGGGATTCCCCATAAATTTCGTCCACTCCAACTCTATGGAGTCCATCAACCCATTTATGCAACTATCAATGATTTGCATAACAGTCCTTTTTATTTAATCAGTCTCTTTTGACCACCAAATTAATTCCAAATTAATTTCTGATCAATACTAATTAAATAATATGATTTCTCTTAATATATTAGTCTCATAATATATTAATAAATCATAATTAATCATCGTTCTCCTTAATTTATCCTACAAGTTGTTATGGTGAAGGCAACCCAAAAGTACCATGCTCATAATCGGGTCAAGTACATACCAAAATAGTTATGGGCTTAAACACCTAATCCAACATAAAGTACAACACAAAATAAACACAAAAGAGACATATATGACAAAAGGTACGTTGATGTGACTTAAAAGGTGAAACCATAACTTTCTATGATTTTTTTGTTTGGAAAGTGTGAACCTCCTTTTTACAAAGACAAAAGAAAAAAGTTTTAAGTATGATGTATGATTGTATGGTGTATGATGCTCTCCATAGCTATTTTAGAATCGGTGTTGAAGAAAAGGTTTGAAGAACAAGACTTCAAGAAGTTGATGTGTAAACCCCTGAAAGTTGGTGTCTTCAATCTGTTAAAGAAAAGGTCAGAATGGATCAAGTTTAGCTTAAGGGCAAGTGTTGAAGTTAATCTAAACTCTCTTAATTAGAAGTGTATATATATGTATGTAAATCTGATGTAAAATATTGTTGGGTTATATCAATAAAGTTCTTTGTTGTGTACACACCCACCCTCTCGTTGCTTCCCTTTCTTTTATCTTTTCTGCACTTTTGTGTTAGGGGGCTGATTCTTCCATGGGTAGTTTTTTATTATTCACTAAATTTTCTAATATAATGACAATTATACCCCCAAGCTAAGAGAATAATTACATCATGTTTAATATTGATATCCCATAAATAGATGTTTAATATTGATATCCCATAAATAGCTATAGAAAGATATTTTCCAACCGTAATCTCTTGTCTCCCTTATATCTTTGTGTATCGAAGTTCATCGAATCTGGCGCTGGTACTACTCCACCGTCAACATATTGTTGCAAGATTAAATGCAAGAAAGACCCTACCAAGTTCATAGAGATCAGTTCTATTGCCGATGGTAACATGAATCAAATGAATGATCAAGTTCAAGTTTCTTTAATTTGAAGAAGTTGGAGTTCGATAAGCTTGTTGATAAATTGAACGTGTTGATGATTGAAGTTTATTCGGGTCATATGAGTAATCAAATTTGTGAGTTTGGAATAGGTAAACTTTTGGGAGTTGTGAGGGTGATTTGGATTCATAGGTGGTTGCAGATGGCGGTGGTAACCGGTGATGTGTGGTGGTGCGAGACGGTTGGGTTGGAACTGGTGATCGAAATCCGAAGAACTTGGTTCAGTTGCATCTTAGGATTCGGGTTGAATGTGTCCTGATATTTGTATTCGAGTTTGATGGTGAACGTGAGGGTAGCCATTAAGCAATCCAAGTGAACAAGAATCTTCGTCAAGTTGTTTTTACCTGCAAATACAGTTTTAGAAACAACATAGAACAAAATATGATATCCTAGTAAGTTCTCTATTCTTGTACTTAAGATGTTCGACAAAATAATAATCATGGAGGGTAGGGAGGGATCTAGAGTTCAGAGCTCTAACTTATGGAGAAAAAGTGGCAGAGATTTCTTCAAAGATCTTCATGTGAAAAAGACAATGAATAAGCATTAAAATGGTTAAAATATTAAAGGATATCCACAAATCTTCTAGTAGAGAGAGGCATACTGAAAAATAGATAATCTTGTGCTTGTTGATGGAATGAATCTGTTAGAGAGCCTTGTTGAGACACATACACAGGGAACCAACATAATCAAACACATACAAGAATCGTATGCTCTGAAGTTATCATACTTTGTGAATATTATCGTTAGAATTAATACAATCAGAAACTTGCAGAGGAAAAAGAATCAGAGACACCAAAGGATTGCAGACTTGCAGCTTCGAAGGAGAAAGAAGCATTGCAGCGTCCCAGTCTTTTGGAAACATGAGATCTTTCTCTCTCTTTAGTATCTCCAAATTTAAATGAGGGCATAATTGTCCATTTACTATAAAAATCAGTGGATGGATAAAAGAGAGTCGTGGAAAAATCAGTTCCCTTTGTGTTAATCTCTATTTGAACCAAACAATGTTTTCTATTTGATGTTGATAAAAAAAAATATGTACTTGGATTGTTGGATGTGCTCTAGGGTAATATAACATTTAAGTTTGTTTTTATGTGTGTATCGTGGATTGTTGGATGTGCTCTACACTAATATAATTTTTTTTGTGGTGGAATATTGTTGGAGTGATATTAATACTAATATTCATGTTTATTGTAAAGATTATAATATTCATGAGTGATGAATGGATGTTGTCAATATTTTTTTTGGATAATAAATGAATTATTATATGTAAATTAATAATATAAATTAAATGGTAAATAATAAAGGAATTATAATAAAAAAAGTATTGTTTGGAGGTAACAGTGGTGTTGTTATTCACACCCAAAAAGTAGAATGAAAACCATTTTTTGAAGTCAAAACCGCTTTGACTAATTGACGCATATCATTAGGAACAAACAGTAAATAGATTTTACACTTATGGTCTCTCGTGTTATATAACAACTTTGATTTTCATTTGTTATACTTTTGTATATGAATAAGGGATCATATATTAGCAAATTTTACATATACGGTCCCTTCTTTTACATATCATTTTATATTTTAATTCTTTATGTTATTTATACTATTTAATATAAATAATATTAAATATATGATCTTTATTTTACATATTATTTTTAATATAAATTTGTTAACAAATTTTACATATATTGTCTTAAATTTTAGTATTAGTTTATATTCTTTTTTATATTATGTAATATTAATAATATTACATATATAATCCTTATTTTACATATTATTTTTAATATAAATTAAATATTTATAGATATAAAAATAATATATTGTATATTAATATTAAATAAATGTATTTCTTAAGATATGAGATTGACAATTCCTTAATTATTTTCTTTTTGATCTTTCATATATATGTATACTTAGGTATCTACATCCACCGTATTATATCGTTTTGTATAATATATGGGTTGTAGTCATTTAAAGTTCTTAAAAACCAACTTCTAGCTTGATTTATTTTTAAGGTTTATAAAAATTTTACCATCATATTCATCTTACATAATTTTCATTTGTAATGTAATACTACATCCGTCCCGAATTAATTGTCCACGCTTGACTTTTGAAGTCTTACTTTTCAACTTTGACTTTAAATATTTTTATTTTTTTATAGATAATACTTGATTAAAAAATATATGAATGGATTGTATTTAAAATGTCTTTTCATTGTTTTAAGTTTTATCAAATAATATATAATACAAATAGAAATATTTAAGGTCAAAGTTGAAGAAAAAAACTTCAAAAGTCAAAAATAGGCAATATGTTCATTTACTTATCTATGTTTATTGAGTTATTTTTTTTCTAAATGGACATTATAGTTTATTGAGTTAAATACATTTAAAGTTCTCAATAGACAAGTCTAAATGAACGAACATAAATAAACTTTTGTTTTATTCGTTTATATATAAAGAAAACAAATATTTTTATTATTCATAACAACCAAATTCTGAATTATTTTGTTATTTTTTTAATAACAGAGAAAATGATTATGTTATTATAATTTTATAGTATATTTACTAATTTTGTAGTATATCTACTGATTAATCTATATATATATATATATATATATATATATATATATATATATATATATATATATATATATATATATAAGTTGTGCACCCTTTTAGGAATGGTCAGGACCAGGGTACTGTTCCTCGGGGAGATCGATGCACTCAGAGATAGCGACTCCAAAACCCAGACCCTAACTTCCTCAAACACGACTCGCTTTAGTCTACGCTAATAGAACCCATATCTATCTTCACTATCGTCGCTAACTTTTCGGGCACATTGCATTCCATCATGGGGCCATGATTTTAGGTAATCTCTCAAGGCTCAGTGGTATTTGTTAGGTTAACATCAGATAACAAGTTGGCGAGTTTCGATTGACAAATGCCAACACGGAAGGTTATCATTTGTGGTAGAATGACATCTTATGTTGCAATTAGCTAGGTTGTGTTTGATGCATGATAGAATAAGAGGAATGAATAGAATGATCCATTCAATGTCAATTTTTTTGTTTCTTTCTTTATATAATATACTAATGAGTAATAAACATTGTAAACAGAAAATGCATCGACTCATCAACAGGGGCGGTCCTACATTGGGGGCAATTGCCCCCACAACAAAAAAAAAATCATTAAAAAGTAGGTTTTTAAAAAAATATATATATTTTAACCCTTCAAAATTATATATTTTTACTCATCAAAAAAATTTGCCCCCCTTAAAAAGTTATAAAATTTTTTTGCCCCCTCTTCGGAAAATTCTTGGGTCCGCCCACTGCTCATCAAGCTTGTGGTCTTCGGTCTGACTTGGAACAATCCCTCAAGGACAATGCATCATTGTTTGTGAAGATCGGTAAGCATTAATCTCTTATATTAATTTTAAAATATTCTATTTTGATTTTTTTAAAACTATATTTCCTGTATTTTATGCAGCAAGAGAAGATAAACTGAATGCTGGGAATAGATCTGTTGTGAATAAGTTTGAATCTGAGCTCACACAAGACATTAAATCTCTCAGCAAAATCAACAACTTGAATGCATTGAAAAGTTTTGTCATACTTTCATTAACATTAATGATAAGGTCAGTTGTTGACTCAAAAAAGAAAGTCGCTTTGACTTTTGACTTTTGATTGCTTATAAGTTTTTTATGTTTTTAAGCTGTCAATGACTTGAAAAAGAAAGTTTGTGGTTCAAAAGCATTGTATGTTTCTCACCTTGAGGCACTGCAAAATGTTGTGGTTTTACATAAAGCATACTCTAATGCAAATTTGGAGGAGGTTTTATCTTTGACTTCATCTAATGCTTTTTGTGTTGAAAAAGTAAGTACTTTTAATCAATATTTTAAATCCATAATTATTGGTAAGAACTAAGAAGTCAACATATTGACCACATTTGTTTTGTCTGAATCAGTTATTAGCTGAAGAAGCATCTGAAGGACTTTCTATCTTTGATGAACTTCACGGCTCTTTATCAACTCAACAAGGAGAAACGGCACATTTTGCTAGAGAGCTTCGACAGGTCTGTTTTTATATATATATATATATATATATATATATATATATATATATATATATATATATATATATATATATATATATATATATATATATATATATATATATATATATATATATGAGAGTTTATTTCTATCATCTAATATTTTTTTCTTTAAACTTTTTCAGAGATTTAATGTCAGTTTTGGACATACTACGGATATATCCAACTTCATCAACGAATTCTTTGATAAGTTAATTTCAGAAAGCATACGAGGTATTATATATAATACTAATAGATGATTATTCATCATTGAATCCAAATGTGATACAAAAACTCATATATCATAGTTCGTAACATAACATTTAAAAAAATGTATTTTTCTCCAGGAGCATGCGAAATCTGATGCTGAGAAACTTATTGCTGATGTAACTAGTTTGCTTTTTTTCTTAGTGCAAGATACAGCAATACAGATAATGCACTTTATTTTCTACCCATAATAACAATGTACATTGCTATTATAGGTATACAATAAAGTACATTGCTATTATCGTTGGTTTGCCCTTTTTATTTGTTTTTTTTTATTCTATGAATTGATGGTTGAGCGTACAGGTGGACACTAGGCTAGCTACAATTAATCAAAGAAACTGCGACTGGAAGCAAGAAAATTTCGGATGGATAGGTGTCATCGTTTGAGAGGATCACATCAGATGCAAAAAGAAAATGGCAAGAAATAAATAATCTATTTTTGAGTTTTATACGTTTATTTGAAAACCAAATCACTAACCATTTTCTTCTTCTTTTTTTTTATTATTATAATTTTCAGTTTTGATACGGCTGAATCGGCTCTACAACATTCTAGAAAAACACACGATTTGGTTATTGAAATGGGAAAAAAACACGTGACAGAAGTCAACTCCCTTGTCACACGTGGATTTGATAGTAATGAACAGCATGATGCTGAGATTAGTTCTTTAAGGGCCACTGCTGAACATGATGTCCTGGAGAACAGTGAGAATATTTCAACGCAGTTTAATGGGTGGTGGTAACGTTATGTAATGTTGGGAAACTAATGAGATGTTTGTATTAGTTTTTATTTGGTTGAATTATGATATGCTAAATTGTGCATACTTTGGACAAGAAACTCGAACCATGTAAAATATGGACTGGCGTGTTAAGGAAAAAGAGTCCAAGAGTTATGTGTTGTAAGATTTATGCTAAAACATTTTTTACCTCCAACCATACACTATAAGGTTACATTAAAAACATATTTTAATATTATAAATTCTAGTAGAATAATTGTAATAGTTTTTAAACAAGACATTTCATTCTAATCTTTTTTAAACAAAAATGTTCAAAAATTTGCAAAAATAGGTATTAATTTCGCAGTGTCTTTTGTGAAATTGCGATGTCAATTTGAGAAAATATGATATGATAAGTTAACGATTAGTTTACAATAAAATTTATGACCATTTGGGGGATGACATCTATAAACATATTGTATTTTGACCATTTCGGAGATCGTTCCATCTAGAAATGTTAAGCTATGAGTTTTAGGAAACTAATGAGATGTTTGTATTAATTTTAATTTGGTTGAATTATATTATAGTAGATTTTCCATACTTTGCACAAAGAATGGAAGCGTGTAAAATATGGATTGATGTGTTAAGGAAAAAGAGTCAAGAAGTTATGTGTTGTAAAATTTATGCTAAAACATTTTTTTAACTCCATCACAACTCCTAGGTCTATGGATGATTGTGATGGTTGTGGTCAAGAGTCTGTGGAGGTTCTTATGTACTTGAAGACAAAGGACTCGATAATGCTTCGTCATCCTCAACCCTAGATTTCTTTTATTGTGCTGGTGAAGGCATCAAGGGACAACACTGGGGAAGTTTCACCGGTTAGAAAATGAATAAGGTGACTACAATAGGGTGCATCAATATCTTATTGAATTAATCTTAATCTCAACTTTGGCCGATTGCACTCCTAATTTTATTGTTACAATTATATATTTAACTTATAATGTATATATGACATACATAAAATAATAACATTGTTGTCAAACACATCATCGTCATGTTGAGTCAAGTACATTTATGCTATATTTTTATCGTAAATAGGACAAAAGGTACTTAAAATGCTTTGAATTGTTACTTTGCAGATTATTAATGTTGGATGAAAAGGAGCTAAAATGGAGCCAGAAGCTGGATTGGATCGAAGATTACTAAATAGTGCGAGATGCATCGCATCCCTTTATCAAATGTGCCGCGTCCACGAGGATTACTTGGAGGATACGTGAAATTTTCTAGACGCGACACACCCACTTAATTAACGCGTCGCGTTTGACGGGTCAACAATTTCCTTATAAATGGAGGTATTATCTTTAACCTATTTATCCATCAACCCTAATACCACACCTTGGTCGACACGAAACCTCTGAACAAACATTTTGAGAGTCTAGAAGGCGTCCAAAGGCCCGTTAAGCTTATATGGAATAAAGATTTGAAGGATCGGAGAGTAGAAACGTTTGGGAATTCATATGATTTGCTTTATGACCATGTTTAACCCTTTGCTTTGTTCTTAGATGTAGATGAGACCTTGAGATTTTGGTTTGATTTTCTATGCTGGATTTTAATAATTATTTAATTTATTGTGTCAAGTTTGATAAAACTCCGTTTGTGTTAAAGGTTGTTCAATGTTACCTATTGTTGACTTTATGTGGTTAGAGGACCATGTTTTCTTGAATCATAATATTTTTAAGGACATTAAATATGTTATGACTAGCGATCGACCAAATCCTAGGGTTAGGTCAAGAAGGCATGAACTTTATTTCTTTATGATCATAGGGTTAGAATCTGACCAAGAGACTCAACAACATTAGGAATCGATGAATAATGAAGTAATATCCATTGCATGCATAGAAATCAACCATAACTTAAGGTGTAGTCAAGTTTGAGTCAAAGTACCTGAAGTCATTTGTTTCTAATAAATTTATCTTTGTTTTGATTTATGTTTTTTTTTGAAAGAGCTATGTTGGATTTTAATAATTATTTAATTTATTGTGTCAAGTTTGATAAAACTCCGTTTGTGTTAAAGGTTGTTCAATGTTACTTATTGTTGACTTTATGTGGTTAGAGGACCATTTGTTTTGATTTATGTTTGCTTTATTTGAGTTTAATAATCAATTCTCCCCTCTTTATCATCAGTGTGTTCCCATTGGGTGGTTCGACACCCGTTCTTACCAGCTCTATACTATGATATGATTGGGTCACACTTACCCAGTTATGTTGTAGTTAATTTTAAATATATTTGGTTTTATAAATTTAAAAACGTGATTTGTACACATCAAGTTTTTGGCTTTTGTCAGGGGTTGATTCACATCCCATCGTACATCCTCCCAAATCATCCGCTTTAGCGGCTCCCGAGCTTGCATATGTAGTATCAATCTACCTTGATGATGTAGAAAAATCATTCTCGATAGCAAGGGAAACATCTCCCAAATCCATATCAAACAAACAAATCAACAAGTAAAATAAATTAGTTTTTATACTTTCAAATATAAAAAACTAACAAATTAATTAAAAAAAAGGTATAACAAAATACTTTTTATATTAAATAAAAATTCAAAATCATACTTGGTATGAGAAAAGAAAACTAGAGACGTCTATGAGTCTATAAATCAATCCGACAAAAAACACAAACCCAAATCAATTTAACAAATATATTATAGGTTAACCTAAAATTTTCCAAGAACACCGCAAAAAGCTCTAAAAATACATAACAAAACCCCTAAACTATACAAACTGAGATACATTTTCTTTTTGCGATTTTTTTATTTCATTGGTGTGGAAATGGTAAAGAATGTGAGGGAGGGAGTTGGTCGTGAGGGAGAGGTTGCTAGTGGAAGGGAGGTAGTTACGGTGAGGTCGTTAGTGGAGTGGAGATGATAAGGTTGCTGATGGAAGTAAAGGTTGTGGTGGGGATGTGTTCGAAATATGGGTGTGTGAGATCTTTTTATTTTATAATTGTATTAAAATAAATGTTTAAGAATGTAAAAAACAAATCAAAATGATATAATAATAAATTCATGTTTAGGAGAGACCAAATCTACTAAAAAAACTTTTTTTTGGATGTTCAACGCAAATTTGAAACACAAGAGGGGCCAAATTTATTTTATATGAACCGATTAATTTTATAAACCACAAAATGCGATCTATAATTTTTTCAAAGGTTTAGCAAAATCTACAATTCTCACCTGATGATACGACCCCAACTACAACATCCCCACCTTCACCTGCAACACAAATCCCAATTGAAATACTTCTAGCTCGTTTCCGTGAATAAAGTAGAAATTAACCCTAGTCTTCATTACTTCTTGTTGTTTGCATCATGTAGGAGACCACGTTCTTCATAGGAATGGGTCATAGTCACGTTTCTTCTTTTTAGGTCATGTTTCCATGTTTTCTAGCATAAATAGTTCTATTTATGCATTGCATTGTAATTTCTTTTGGGATATGATTAAGAAAATTGTTTCAAGCTGCTGTGTTCTTCTCTTGATTTCTAGGAGATTAGCCATCTCAAAAAAGGCTTCTATCCATTTGTTACGATCCCACATCAGCCGAGAGTAAAATAAGTTGGTGACTTATAAGTCTAAGTATCTCCTACAAGCCGACTTTTAGAAGTGAGTTCTACACTTGGGCTCATAGCATGATATGGGCCTAATATGTGATGTGTCCGTATCGGTACGAGTCAAAATGGACAGAATGTAGTTATAATACAGTTAAAACTAGGGGTGTTCGCGGTGTGGTTTGGTGTGGTTTATCCTCAAAACCGCAAACCGCATCGCATATGCGGTTTGTTATTTTCGGGAACCGCAGACCGCACTGCAAAGGTAATAAACTGCGTTATGCGGTGCGGTTTTGTGCGGGCGGTTTTGTGGTTTTTGTGCGGTTTCATAAACATAAATATTAAATTTAGATTTAAACATAATAATTGTGTGGTGCTTTATATTCTATGAAGAAAAGATTAATTGCCTGTATAAACATCTTCTTTATGCATAATATCAAAATATTTTACAATATTTTAAAATTATAATATGAACTTATGATACTGTAAACACATATTTTTGATATAGTTGGCTTCCCATTTTGACTCATGTTTATCGATCGAAATCTCATAAACATTATTAAGGGTATCAAAAGTGGTAAACATCTAGCGTGTTGTGTGTGTGTGTGTGTGTATATATATATATATATATATATATATATATATATATATATAGATTCAGGTTCATTTGAGACCATTCAAATTTTGTGAGACCGTAAGACCAAATCTAAAAATAATTTTAAAATGCAAAATAAATGGAAAAATCCAAAAAAAAAATATTTTAAATATTATTTTCAGAACTTGAATTAACTAAAAAAAATCTCGTTTTTTTTTTTTAAAATACGTGAAATATTCTAATAGAATATTACACTGACATATTCTAAAAAATAATTTTAAAATGCAAAATAAATGGAAAATCTAAAAATTCTTTTTTTAAATATTATTTTCGGAACTTGAATTAACTAAAAAAAATTTAAAAAAAAATCTTATTTTCTTTGAAAAATACGTGAAATTCTCTTAATAGAATATTACACTGTACATATTCTAAAAAATAATTTTAAAATGCAAAATAAATGGAAAAATCAAAAAATTCTTTTTTTAAATATTATTTTCGGAACTTGAATTAACTAAAAAAATAAAAAATAAAATAAAATTAATAAAAAAATACGTCTCACGGTCTCACAAAATTAGGTCGTTTCACATGAACCTAACCCTATATATATATATATATATATATATATATATATATATATATATATATATATATATATATATATATATATATATATATATATATATATATATATATATATATATGGTATGTTGCAGTGCGGTTTGAACCGCGGTTTGGTAACTATAAACCGCAAACCACACCGCATAGTGCGGTTTATGAAAACTACAAACTGTGCCACGAGCGTCCAAAACAGCAATATACGGTGCGGTGTGGTGCGGTGCGGACGGTTTATGCGGTTTGTTGCACACCCCTAGTTAAAACCATAAGGTTTCTAGCCCAACGATATCACACGCTGGCCTCCTTTCTCGAGGTCGAGGGTTTAAGTAGTGGTAGACTTGCCAGGGTAACACATTGGAAAATTTTGCATCATGCTAGAAATTTTCTCAAAAAAATCTCACTTTTTCCAAAAAATTTGAGCATTACAGTCAATCAATGAGTCAAAGTGTTGTTTGGGACATAGATGGATGACCTCTAAAAGATTTGATCATCTCTAACAGTAATAAGCGATTTAGGTAGTATTTTTTTTTAAAATAATAAGTCTTTAAATAAATGGTTACCATTTTAAATGCTCTTAGAAACACAAAATATGAAACTAAACCTTATTTAAATTGGATCGGGCTGCCTACAAATCCAATTTCGGCATAATTGTATTTCTACTCTTTGCTAGCATCTAGCTAGGACTGTTCATTATTTGGATAAAACCGAATTGTCAAATTTGACAATTTGGATCGGACTATTTGGTTCGGATATTCGGATTTTTGGATTGGTTTTTAGCAAAACCGAATTATTATTTTGGATTTCGGATTGGTTTTGGTTTTTAAAATAAAAACCGAATAGTCCAAAAAAACCGAATTGCAATTTATTATTTTATTCTTTTTAATATATATCTTTAATAATTTATAAATTTACTAAATTATTCTTTTAGTATATCAAAAATTTTCATCTATTATAATACTTTAATATGTACTTATAAAAAAAATTGTCTATAAAGTAGTAAACTATAATATATTTTTCTTGATAGTTATTTATAAGTTTTAGTTCACAACTAATTAAACAATATCTTTTAGTTTATATTATAGAGTAAGTTAATATTAAAGTTATATATTTGTTGAAATATCTTGATTCTTGAAAACCGAATTGTAAAAAACGATCCAACCGAATTATAATTTGGTTGGATCGGATCGGATTTGAATTTAATTTGGACTATTTGGATCTACGTTTTGAAAATCGAAATTAATTTGGATTCACTTGATCGGATCGGATTAAACCAATCCATCCAAACGAACACCCCTACATCTAGCTATGCTAAAGAAAATTTTGCCATTTAAATTATCAGCATTCAACATGGAATTCTGTTTTGTTTCAAAACTTTGATAGATGTATAAATCTTGAAAGATTGCCATTTGATTTCAGCCTCGTTATGTTCCCAACTGTTGTCTACAGCAAAAGCCTTCTTCTTGAGATGACACAAACATAGAAGTAATTAGTGCCTCGTTCGCCTTGCCTTCTTCGGGGGAACTTGGAGCACTCTGTAATTTAACAACTCATGAATACAACATTTCATGCATAAAATCAATTTGTAGATGTGATTGTTACCTCCAAACATATCCTAAAACCTAGGCGGTATTTCTCAGGTACAAGAGATTCAACTGATGCAGAACCACATTTTTGCACAATATTTTCAAAAATTTCATTCACCTGTAATTGTAAAAACATGAGTACATGCATACATATATATATATATATATATATATATATATATATATATATATATATATATATATATATATATATATATATATATATATACGTCGTGTGTATCTATCTATAATTTAACACATACATTTGCTTTGAAATCATGTTGAGGTGATCTGCTTGTTTCCTTGCCTTCTTCCAGGGAAGTTGTACAAATCTGTAATTTAACAACTCGTGAATACAACAACATTTTATGCATAAAATCAAATGGTGATGTGATTCATTTGTTACCTCAAACACATTCCTAAAATCACCACGTTCCAGCAGCAAAATCTCCGGAAGGTCACTCACCTGTAACATGATAATAATCATGAGTATGTCATACATAGATACATCATGTGAGTGAATCCATAATTTAACACATACAAATGACCAAGATTGAAGTCCATTCAGAATATCACATAGGACCATCTTCAGTTCTGCCACTTCAAGGCTCAAAACCAGCATCTTTAGAAACCATAAAACAGCCTGACAACCATATATAAACTAAATTAGATTGATCAATAGTAGAAACTCTAAAGCTAAGATAAGAAATAGTACTTACTTCTGCAACTTGTATGTCTTCTTCCCTATCCAGCAACTCAAGGATTTCTGGCACAAGATCGGGCTTCAATTCGCAGATTTTTGAGTCGTTGGATAACATAATAGACAATGCAAGGATTGCACCACTTGTAATGCAAGGAGAAAACCCAAAGAGATACCCCATCATCTGAAAAGTTGAAAATATGAATAAAAGAATGTTTTCATTTCAGAAACTAAGAAAGAAAGTCTAATATATATATATATATATATATATATATATATATATATATATATATATATATATATATATATATATATATATATATATTGAGTGGTAAGAATACCTTACCATGGTGATGAATTTATAATAAGTTTCTGGTTTGGATTGCATGATGGAACTTGTATCTAGAAGAATGTCATGTGCCACTTCTCTCCTATCCTCCTTGTCCTGTAGATCAAAAGTAGATTATATTATACAACTAGGTTACTATTTAATCATACAATTGATAATTAATACAAAATAAATAAGCCATTTTTAACCAAAATATGTGTATAAAGTACACTGCACAATAATCCAACCAAACATGTTAAGAGACACATACATGCAAAACAGAAACATGGCAATGTTTTTTAACCAAAATATGTGTAAAAAGTACAATGAAAGTTTCCATCAAGTTTATCTTTCAGTTACACATAAAAAGTATAAAAATCATAATAAGTAGGTTTGCAAATTTATGTTATTTTAGGGTAGAAAGGAAAAAAAGTGACTGTAAATATACTTTATAAAATCCTATAACTAACAGATTAGAAGTCACTTAATATTCCTATCAATTAAAGCAGTGTACTTTGAAAGTACACTGTTATTTTAGGGTATAAAGGAAAAAGTCACTAAATTTTGTTTTATAAAATCCTAAAGTAACAGATTAGAAGTTGGTTAACATTATTGTCAACTATAGCAATGTACATTGCTATTTTAGGGTAGATAGGATAAAAAGTCATATATTAGAAAGGAAAAATGGGGGTAAACCTGCATCTGTTGAAGATGAAAAGGATTCAGGAAAAACAAATTAACAGATTAGAAGTCACTTAGGATTTATTAAGTATGCTATATGTTTATTAACTTTGTGGTAGTCAACAAAATGCAGTTTAGGAAAATAAATTTGCATCAGGTTATGTGGTATGTGTATGATAACATAATAAGCTCATAATAATTTTTTTGAAGGGCCCACTTTGTGCAATCAAAACACTCAAAAATATATATAAGTTTGTCAATTCAATTTTATAAGTTTTTCTTACTGTTTCTTTTCAACTAAAGATTGACCACTGTAAATTATAGCAATGTACTTTCAAAGTACATTGCTATTTTTTTAGATAGAAAAGATTAAAGTCAATAAAAAACCAAAATATAATGTTGCACAGTTTGGATAGAACAGAGATAGATTATAAGAACAAACAACTTAATGAAATGAATAAAGGTAGATCTTACATCTTTTAGTGTCACAATGATTTCATTGAGCACCCAAACGCCATACTTGTTCTCTCCATCACAAGTTCTCTACAGAAGAAATTCATTAGCAAACAAAACTATTAGAGGCAATTTGACATGATATATAAATAAATCACACTAAAAGAGAATATAACCTCGAATGAGTGAAATAGCAAGGTCTTTAAGCACAAAAACCTCCATCTAAATGAAATTATATCGACAGGGGACTTCAAATCACGTAACAAATCCACAAGTTGCTCGAATCTTGAAGACATGAACTCAAAAGATTCCTGAATATTTAAAGCAAAAACAAAAATGAGACATATTATCTAAAAGAATAAGTAGTAATGGTGTGGTCCTTACCAAAAGTATGTAAAGATTGGCATACGCTTCCTCATCATCTTCCTACATAAAAATAAGGGTATATAAGGTTTGATAGTATGATTCTAAAAATGCTAAAAACATAAAAAACAAACAAACCTTCAAACAATCCCCTATACAGCAGTATATAAAATCTATTGGATCCATTCCAACATCAGCAACAATTGCTGATGCTAGTTCATGTATCAGACCTATGTTGGCATTTTTCTGATCAGAAACATCCGGCTTCACTCTTTCAAGAGATGAAATAAAAATTGCCTTTGATGTTGGGAATTCAGCGATATTTGCTAAGCATCCAATTGTTTCCTGTGAATGTGTATTATATATATATATATATATATATATATATATATATATATATGAAGTCAGAAACCAGGGAGTAAATAAATAAAATTTGGTGAATTTACGAAATTATGATAATGACCTTTAGAAAAGAACGTTTCTCAGGCGACACCTGAAAGAAAACATTGGTAAAAGCCTTCAATAATGCCTCTGACCATGATGCCATAACCTTGATGTTTCTCTCTGCGTTTTCTTTTTCAATTCCCATATCTATAACTCCGGAACTTCCAGGGAAACTCAAACTTAAGCTCATGTTTTGCTTCACAAGACACTACAGAAAAGGGAAAAAAATAGTTAAAAAGAAGCATCTAGAATAAAAATATAAATTAGAATTATTTATTACCTGCAGTGCAATAGCAATGCTCTCAAGCATAGAGGCATTTTCTTTGATGTTTGGAATTAAAATCTCAGCCAAGGACCCAAAACTTTCCTCCAAATCATATGGATAGCGACAAAAAGAAGGTAGTAATTCCCAACAAGTACGTGAAAGGGACTGCATCTGCTTTCTTTTTACTGCCATCTTTTTACCTTGAAAAAAAAAACTTATGTCATTATAAAATCCAAAACCGTTATACACAGTTTGAGGGGGTAGCACTACCCTACCTCTTTTACACGCTTTTCTGAAGGATTCAGATAGAGGCACTATAGTTCTGATGAAAAACCGCACATGTGAATATATGACATACTCCTTATAGATAGGTAACAACCAAGTATTTGAGCAAGTCTGCTCATTTGCATCAAACGAGAGAGGATACAATGTGTGTATTTTATCGGGGCCCATAACCATTACGGCAGACCCGATACACTGCTCAAACTGTAAATATCAAATATCAATATTATGTTAAAAAAAACAAAACATAAATGTCAATGATAAACAACTTACATGTTTTACATCACAAGTAGATGCATCTGACATAAAACCAACAGTCTTCATAAAAATCCTGTCCATGTAGATAAAAGAGTCTAACCCTACATATCACAAATATAACACAAAGATTAGTAACAAGTGCTTAATGACGCATACAACTAAGCTAGTAAACGGCCATACCAAGATGGAGAAATAAAGCAGAGATGACACTCAAAGAATGTTCATTTGGATAGGTCCTCAGAACTTCTAAAAGTGAATCACATAAGCATCTCACTAGATTTGATTGCTCAGATTCAGCATTAAGTCCCACTTCACTGAAAAGTACACGGGAAAACATTTCTTTTAAGATATTTGAAGCCCTTGCAGCAGTAGCCTCACATATCAAAAGACCTAAAAGCACATTCAAAATAATATAATCAGATAACTAATCATATCGTTATCCTGACCTATATAGATCTATTTCCCTAACAAACTTGTCTAACTAACAGAATTATTCCCTTCCACGTGGCTTGGTCCTCCTTTTGTAAACTATCAGACTCAACAACTTGTTCCTTATCATATTCATAGCTTGATTTTAGCTTAATATATCTATCATTGTAATTAGAAAGCATAAACTTCTGTAAATAGCATTGGCATTTAGCAAACTAAATAAGGAATTAACAAAATTACAATTGGCATTATTCCCATAATAAATATAGTGATGTGACAATTAAATGAAAATGGAAAACACCATAAATTGACAAGTAGCAAAAATAATTCTAAAATTCTCAGATAATGACGTGTCAAATTCAATGAGAATGTGCCATTTGTCAAAAATGATCTTTATTTACTAGGGTAGATTAGGGTAGATGTCTACCTGTTATAGACTGAATGAGTATGGAATAATCACTTTTCCATTTGTCTGAAATCTTCACGGTCTTTACAAATATAAGTTCGGATTCAGATTCAATGAGAGCAAGTATCTCCTCCATTACATCTAAAACATACAATGTTGAAAACTTGGCAGTCATACACTTTTGTAATTCTAGTATGACTTCCTGCATGTCTTCTGGTTTTGTTAAAAAAGGAATGAAACGTTTCAACAGATCTAACATGTGAAGAGCCTTCAAGTGTTCACATTTTGATCCTTCATCATCTTTAGATCCATCTGCTTTCTCAACTGCCAAGATATAGTTTCTAAATGTATCTAACACCAATTTGGTTGCACTTTCTTTGATAATAGAATTTTGGAAACACTTGAAGACCTTCAAAACACAATGTTCAGCACATTTTCTAACCTGCACATTTGGCATTAAACAATCTACTATTATAAATATTGATTATTGTCACAAATTCACAATATAGGAAAGAGACAATATACCTTTTCATTTTTGTTATCTACTGCATACTTGATAAACGTCTGGAAACTTAATTTCACAATATCCCAATCTCCTAAATCACAAATCTCCAGCAATACCCTCAAACACTCCATAAATCTTAAAACCCGCAAACTCACAAACTCAACCTCCAAACATTTAACCACAATCTCGACAGCCTCAGCCGCCTTAGACATGGATATAGACTTCTCAGGAACCATAGTCAACACAAATGTCAAAAACGAAGACATTCCAGACATTGCATCAGCATTAAAGGTTGAATTAGAGAGGGTATGAGAATATGAGGAATCATAGAGGGCGTCAATGATGTTAACGAAGTAATTGAGCGGAGTGACGGGCAAAGATTTAGATTTTATCATACATTGGGTATAGGCAGCAGCTGCGTAGAGCTGGCGGTGATGAGGTGAGCGGGATTTCTTGTAACGGTCGGCAATATGTTCAAGAATATCAGATTCGCCGGTTAATGAGGTAGTGGATTGCTCCATGAATGAATTCTTGTGGCCGTCGTTTTTTCTTAGGGCTGTTTGTCAAGATCTGAAAAATTAAGAGGAAACAAATATTTGACATTGAATGTTGAGATATAAATGACAACAAACTTGCAACCTACTTTTCAAAGTATGTTGCAACCTACAAATCCAAATTCAACAAGGAAACAAATAAACACTTTAATCATTTATATAGAAACTCCATATCAAATCCATCACCAACTTTTCAAAGTATGTTGCTAGAATCGATAATTTATCAAAATCTCCAATTGTTATCACTTGTATAAACTACAATATTAACCAACCAAATTACCCTTCTGTATTATTTTTTAGTGAATTCAAATACTTGTTTATATAAAAACCGAAACAATTTCTTAAATAATTATTAAAAAAACCTAAACATCATATAAAATCCAAATTGAACATACATCAAAATGAACACAAATCCAAATAAAACATAAATATTTTCAAATCCTAAAAATTATATTGAAATCCAAATAAACCCTACAAGCACATCAGCACATATGATATGAGCTGTGATTTTAGAAAAAAAAAATAAGCATCAGATCAGATTTTCGTGTCCATACATTACCAAATCAGATTTCAACATTAATACATCAAGAAAAGATATTTCAGGAAAAAAATGACCAAAACAGCCCTGATATTGCATTTGCCATCTCTACTCAAAGGATATGTAATCAAAATTCCTCAATTCCAAATTGAAATCATCAATCTTTATGTCAATTTAGTGTCACTTTAAATAAAAACATGCTTCCTGAAAACAATTTGAGTAAAACAGAACAGAGGAGCAATTTGTGTGAACGACACATTTGACAATGGAGATTTCAGCAAAAAAATAACCAAATGCCAGCAACAATTACAGATTCATTATCGATTTCAGCAAGAAAACATTGATTTCACCCGGAAATCGTCGATTTCATCGTATTTGGGGAGAGAGAAAAAAGGAAAAAATAAAAAACGATACATACGTGAAGCCGACCTCTGATGTGCGACAGTGGCGACGTATGCTTGGGAGGCTGGCACCGAAGGTATGGGAGGGTGGCGCCGGAGATCCGAAGGGCAGCGATGGCAGCGGCTGACGGAGGTGGAGCCTATGGCGGCAAAAGATTGCAGGTAATCGGAGTGTGTTGGGAGGGAAGAGGGGTCGGTCGTATGAAATAGAAAAGAGAAGAGGGAAGTCGCGTAGGGCAAAATTGGAAGACACGCCTCTTTTTCTTTTCAGATGGTAACAAACAGGGTCGGTCCTAGACAATTTGGGCCCGGGGCCAAAGCAAAATTCGGGGCCCTCATAATGTTTTTTTTTAATAAAAAAAAGAGGACGGTACCTCCAAAAATTTTATTAATTAAAAAAAATAATACAATTGAAGGCTGGGGACTTCCCACCTATGGAAAAAAAGACTTCGGGACAGGCCCCATAAGCCAAACAACCTAACAACTATTAATACAAAACAATAAATAAAAAAAACCAAAACATGCTCTAAACCAAAATACATAAACATATCAAAGAAAAACTAAAGAAATTTACATTTACGAGCTTTTTTAGATGCAAAGTCATCAATTATAGAATCAAGTTCAATATTATCCAACAAATCTTTTTCAATGCATAACATAACCAAACCATTTAATCTTTCTTGTGACATTGATGATCTCAAATAATTTTTTAATAATTTTAGTTTTGAAAAATTTCTTTCTGCTGATGCTACAGTAACTGGTACGGTTAATAAGATTCTATATGCAATACAAACATTTGGATAACAATCTTTACCTTTGACAAACTCTAAAATTTCAACCGATGACATAACAACATTTGGCAAAGTTTTTTGTAATACTTTAAGTTCCGTCAAAAATTCATTTAAATCCACATCACATAAGTTATTATGAGTAAACTTATTTACAAAAACAGCACAACTTTTTTTAAGTTCAATATCATCCAATGATTTTAACCTTTTTGAATCATATAAAAATCCAAAAATGTTTTCAAAGTTTGTTAATTGCTCAAATCTACTCTCTAATGATGCAATTGCCACATCAACAATATATATAAAATACTCGATTCTAAATGATTCTTCCGGTGATAGTAATTCATCTTCACAATTAATTTCATCAAATTGTTTTTTTCTAGTAACTTGGCGTTTTTTTGGGAATATAGGTTCAACTTCCATATCCAATGCAATGGCCTTAGCATTATCAATACTAATGGCATAACCTTCATTTCTATAATTTTTAAAAAATGTTATCATATTTTTTAATAGATCAATTGTGGCATCAATACATATAGTTTTGGTTTGCATTTTCTTACTAACTTTATTTATAGCAAATAAAATATCATACCAAATTACCATACCAAGTAAAAAGTCATAACTTTCAATAGCATTAACTAAACTTTCAGCTTCACTTTTAGACTTTGCATCATCACATGATGAACTTAATTCTATCAAGGCATCCCTTATATGAGGAGCTTGAAACCTAATGGCTTTTACACTTTTTATTCTACTCTCCCAACGTGTATTAGATAAAGATTTTACCGTTAAGTTAGGGACTTTATCAAGTAATATTGACCATCTTTTGGTTGAACTAGAAAATAATACAAAAATGCGTTGCAAAACTCCAAAAAAAGAAATCGCTTTGGCACAAGAATGAGCCATATCACTAACCGTGAGGGTAAGACTATGACAAGCACATGGCATAAACAATGCTTTTGGATTAATTTCAAGTAATCGTTTTTGAACACCTTGGTGTTTTCCTTTCATGTTAGAACCATTATCATAACCTTGTCCTCTTACATCATCAATATTAAGACCATAAGATTTAATTGCATTTAATAACTCATTAAATAGTCCTAAACCCGATGTATTTTCTACCTTTAAAAATTCTAAAAAAAAATCTTCAACTTTTATTTTATTATTAGACATGTTCACACATCGAATAACAAGAGTCATTTGTTCTTGATGGCTAACATCGGGGGTGCAATCAAGAATAACAGAAAAATATTTTGATTCTTTTATAATAGTAATTATAGAATTTCTAACATCATTAGCTAAAATAGAAATGATTTCATTTTGAATTTTGTGTCCTAAATAATGAAGATGAGTTTGATGATTTTCTATGTGTCTAACATGTTCTTGCATTATAACATCAAATTCTGCCATCATTTGAATTGCTCCCAAAAAATTACCATTAGATTCTTGAAAAAGTTTTTCGTTACAACCTCGAAAAGCCAAATTATATTTTGCCAAATATTTAATGACAGCAATTATTCTTTTTAAAACTTGTCTCCAACGTTCTTTTTCAGTTAAAACTTTATTTTGCAAATCTTTATCAATTGTTTTATTCTTATCAAATCTTGCTATTAGTTCATCCCAAGAATCCATACAAAAAAGATGTTGGGAACTATTTTCATGTTCTTTAAGTCTATCAAAAAGATGTTTCCAATCATTAAATCCATCATTTGCTAAAGAAATTTTATTAACATAATTATTAGGTTTAAACAATTTACAACAAAAACAAAACACTTTATCAACTTTTTTTGAGTAAATTAACCATTTTCGATCTATTGTGTCACCATTACTTAACTTTCTAGTATAAGAAGCATAAGAAAAATGTCTAGATAGATTATCTTTAGGATACACAAAATTTGATTCTCTTATTGGCCCTTTTTCAATCAAAATATCTCTTAAGTTATTATCAAGATTATCCCAATTACTAGGATCATATATATCTAAAGGTGGAATAAATTGTTCATTGTTATCATTCATGACATTTTCATTCTCATTCTCATTTGAAATGTTAACATTTTCATTATTGACATTAACATCTTCATTATTAATCTTTTCATCATCAAAATCAACATTTTCATTTGAAACTTTTTCTTGAGAAAAATTTTCATTCATAACATTATCTTGCTCATTAAAAATAGTTTCATGTGTGAGATTATCTTGTTCATTTACTTGTACATCAGCAGAACTATTTTTTTTTAAAAACCTGTGCATAGACCCTTTTTGAGTTTTATTATCTTGTTCAATTTTTTGTTTTTTCTTTCTTTTTTCACTTCCAGACATATACTTTCTAGGATGCATATTCAATAGAGTGATAAGAGGCAATGATGCAAACAAACAACAAGCACACAGTGACACAGATAACAAATAATAGAAGATTAGAGTTCGTGTTGTTTGTACCTACTGTTGACTGCTAATGCTGGTAAACTGTTGATGCTGTGAGCTTTTAAATAACCTCTAAGCAGCAACTGGAAGTGGTAAGCTGCTGATTCTCAATCCTCAGATTCTACATAGCATAAAATTATGAATATTAGATTCATAAAAAATTAGAAAATCATAGATAAATAAGAAATTTGAATGCTAGAAATTAGAACAATAGAACTTACAGATAAAATTGGACTTCAAAATCGAAAAATGAACTTCAAAATCGAACTTCAAAATCGAAAAATGAACTTCGTCTGTGAGGACTGAGGACTCACGACTCAGTCAATGGTCACAAGTCCGTGAATCTGTCACAGACTCACAGTCTCACAATTGAACTTCAAAATCGAAAAATGATCGGTAGAAATCGTGATTCGTGATTACCGAGAAAGAAGCGAAGGAGAAGAAGCACTGAATCGCCAAATTGGAAATTAGAAAAGTGAGAATTGGGGAATAAATAACAGATCGATCATCGATTCTAATCATTCAATTGAAATCGAAGAAGAAATATAAGAACCTGATTATTATTACGACCGTTGCAACGATTGATTAACTTAGAATCCGGAGAAACGTTTCGATTCCATAGCCGATCTTAATTGCGCCTTGGAAGTCGGCATCTGTAGCAGTCTCGCTCTCAGCACAGTCGTTCCCCATTCCGCTTTCCTCTGATTCCTCCCGCTGTCGCGCTTTCAGCTTTCTTTTTGGACTTTTGTTGGCGCTGATAAGAATTAAGAAACATTGGGCTTCAACAATCAGAGTCCATTAAGCTTAAACCTAATGGGCTAATACTATACAATTAATATAAAACATATAAAATGGGGGCCCTATAGCATTTGGGGGCCCGGGGCGGTCGCCCAGCTAGCCCAGGCCCATGGGCCGGCCCTGATCCGGAGAAACGTTTCGATTCCATAGCCGATCTTAATTGCGCCTTGGAAGTCGGCATCTGTAGCAGTCTCGCTCTCAGCACAGTCGTTCCCCATTCCGCTTTCCTCTGATTCCTCCCGCTGTCGCGCTTTCAGCTTTCTTTTTGGACTTTTGTTGGCGCTGATAAGAATTAAGAAACATTGGGCTTCAACAATCAGAGTCCATTAAGCTTAAACCTAATGGGCTAATACTATACAATTAATATAAAACATATAAAATGGGGGCCCTATAGCATTTGGGGGCCCGGGGCGGTCGCCCAGCTAGCCCAGGCCCATGGGCCGGCCCTGGTAACAAAACGGTCTCAATCTTACGGATCTACCAAAGTGGTATTAAAATGCAAACAAACCCAAGTTTGAATCCATACTGGAATATTATCTAGACTAATGGCCATGTTTATTATGAGATGAATGATCTTAACTATGACTACATCTCATGTTGAATCCACGCATCTAACTTTACATTTAGGACTTCGCAATCTAGCATTGCACTTACAATTCCCAAAGTCCCAACAAAGAGTCTTACATCATCTAACAAAATTAGTTAAGGTAACTAACTAAGGGGTTGTTTGATAGTTGCTAACTGGATTAGAGCTGACTGGGTTAGAAGTTCTGATTAAGTTAACTTCTGATTGAAACTTATTGTTTGATTCTACATCTTACTGACCGTGCTAAATGACTGTATTACCCTCAAACAATATTTTTATAATAATTCCTTTATAATTTACCATTTAATTAATAACATTACATTTTTTCTATAAAACATTCAACATGAGTAAAAAAAATAAAAAAATTAAAGATATATAATTTTTGTATGGACTATTGGCTTGATATACACATGCAATTTTATAATTGATCGAATGATTTCACCACAACAATTTTGCAGATCTGTACATAAATGATAATTTCATCCATTTTAGAATAACAAAAACACAACTATTCTATCACATATATATACAATGAGAATACGTATGTAATTGT